CCATGAGATCCAATCTAGACACCATCATGGAGGGGTTCATTATCTTCATTGGTGCCTCTCCGATGATGTGTGAGTAGTTCATCATAGACCTACGGGTCCATAGGTAGTAGCTAGATGGCTTTCTCTCTCTCTTTTGATTCTCAATACAATGGTCTCTTGGAGATCTATTTGATTTAACTCTTTTTTATGGTGTGTTTGTTGGGATCCGGTGAACTTTGAGTTTATGATCAGATCTATATCCATGAATTTATTTGAGTCTTTTTTTTTGATCTCTTATATGCATGATTATTTATAGCCTTGTATTTCTTCTTCAAATTTTTGGTTTAGTTAGGCCAACTAGATCGATTTTTCTTGCCATGGGAAGAGGTGCTTTGTGATGGGTTCGATCGTGCGGTGTTCTTTCCCAGTGACAGAAGGGGCTGAAAGACACACATGTATCGTTGCTATTAAGGATAACAAGATGGGGGCTATTCCTACGTGAATAGATCTCATCCACATCATGTCATCGTTCTTATAGCATTACTCCGTTTCTCCATGAACTTAATACACTAGATGCATGTTGGATAGCGGTCGATGTGTGGAGTAATAGTAGTAGATGCAGGTAGGAGTCGGTCTACTAACTTTGGACGTGATGCCTATATATTGATTATTGCCTGGGTATCGTCATAATAATTTGAGGTTCTATCAATTGCCCAACAGTAATTTGTTTACCCGCCGTGTGCTATTTTCTTGAGAGAAGCCACTAGTGAAATCTACGGCTCCCGGGTCTATTCTTTATCATATTTGCTTTCTTATCTATTATTTGTCACTTTTGTTTTTAGATTTGTTATTCCAAAAACCCAAAAATACCTTGCTGCACTTTTTATTTGCATCTTTTATTTCTTGTTTTATCGAAATCTATTTATCCAATCTATCATAATTTATCTCGTCAACTTGACAATTTCGGGCGCCGTTACCCGAAAAGGGATTGACAACCCCTTACAAGTGTCGGGTTGCAAGTATTTGTTCTTTGTGTGTAGTTACCGTTTACATAGTGTTGCTTGGTTCTCCTACTGGATTGATACCTTGGTTTCATAACTGAGGGAAATGCCTACCGTAGATGTGCTGCATCATCCCTTCCTCTTTGGGGAAATACCGACGTAGTTCAAGCAACATCAATGCCCCCTTGTTATTTGACTTGGCAGATGATGCTCTTGTTGTTATGATAAACAATTCTAGAGAAAATGATATAGTAAAAGGTGTGATAGGGAATAATGTTACTAAAGGTGTTAACATGTTGCAATATGCAGATGACACAATTTTGTAGTTGCAATATGATGTCGAGAGTGCTAAAAACCTGAAATTTATTTTATGTGCCTTTGAACAAATGTCAGGGTTAAAAATTAATTTTCATGAAAGTGAGATCATTCTCTGGGGGGTGGCTAATGAGAAAAAAGAGGCATATCAGGAATTTTTCACATGCAAAATGGGAGAATTACCTATGAAATATTTGGGTATGCCTGCTTCTGATACTACGATCGGGAACAAATATTGGAGAGGAGTAGTAGAGAAAATTGAGAAGACATGTGGCTGTTGGCAGGGGAGGCTTTGGGGGTCCATCACAGGGGGAATTACTTTGGTCCAAGCATGTTTGACCAACATACGTCTCTTTATGATGTCTTTTTATCCCATGCTAGTGGCAATTATGAAGAAAGCATATTTTTATAGTGCCGGATTGGTTTGTCAAGAAGATGAAGATAAGAAGAAATATCATCTGCTCCCTCCGTCTCATGATATAAGAGCTAGAAAATTTGATAACTAGAAGAATAGTCCCACTAGTGTAAAACATGCTCTTATATTATGGGACGTATGGAGTAGTTAACTGGAAGAATTGTTGGCTCTCTAAAGACTTTGGGGGGGGGGCTTGGAATTCTTAATTTGGATATCATGAACAAAGCTCTGTTAGTTAAATGTTTTTGAAAATTGGAAACTGATGAAGGGCTTTCGCAACCTGACCTACTAGGAAAAATATGTGCCTGATGGCGGCATTTCTAGAGTTAAGAAAAAGACTGGGGATTCCCAATTTTGGTCCAGTCTTTTGAAAGTGAAAGACATTTTTTACAAATATGCCAAGAAAAACTGGGTGATGGCAAAAATACTAGATTTTGGGAAGGTATCTGGGTTGATGGTAATGCATTAAAAGATGATTATCCTAGGTTATATGATCTGTGTTTTGATCATAACATCACAATTACTAAGGCCATCCAGAAAGGATGGCCAGGTTTCAGATTTAGAAGAACTCTACAGGGAGAAACCCTAGAACTCTGGAATAGCCTAAAATATAGTTGTGTAGATGTTGAAATGGGGAGTGGCAGAGATAGAATTTTTTCGTTAAATCCTCGTATAGGAAAATGGTCACTGAAGACTGTAACTTTTCACAAAAAAAAATTGTGGAAGGTGAAAGTGCTTGCAAAATAAAAGTGTTTTTGTGCTTGGTAAATAGAAAAAGTATCCTAACTAAAGATTCATTGTTAAAAAGGGATTGGAGAGGTCCCAAGGAATGTGTGTTTTGTGGTAAAAATGAAATATTGAATCACTTATTTTTCTCTTGTTCTGCTGCTTCACTAATGAGCTTGCTTAAATGTACTTTCGGTTTGAAATATACTCCCTCTTGCATTGAAGATTGCTTTGGGAGATGGATCAAAACATTTAAGAAAGGGGACAAAAAATAGTCCTGATTGGTGTGGCTGCTATGTTTTGGACAATTTGGAAATGTAGAAATGGGATTATCTTTAATAACGAGATATTTAATGATCCCATGACGCGGATTCGGTGAATAAATTATTTGATAACGGCTTGGTCTATTTTGCAGACAAAGGAACAAAACAAAAGGGTGTTGGACTTGGGGAGAAGGCTACTAGAACATGTAGCAAGTGACGTGTATAAAGCTTCGCAAGGATGGAGGTACAACATGCCAAGGCTGGAAGGGTGAGGAGTTGTTGTAGGCCTTGCTTGACACTGGCTGCTGAATGCGTTGTGCTTCTTCTTTTAGTTGCGGTATAGTCGTGGTGGTGATTTTTAGGTCGTCAGTACTTTTGGGTTTATATCCCTTGTCCCTTTTAATTTGTTCATGTACTTTCCTTAACTGTGGTTGTGCTGGTTCCCTTCCCCCTCGTGGGAGTGGGGCTTTGGTTTCGAAGGGTGACATTTTTCAGTATGTCCGAGAGTGCCCCTAAGGAGTTGTTTGCTTTATATGGGGTCTTTTAGTAGTATGGTACTCTTTCCATTCCATAATGTAGTGTATATAGATTTTTTTTAAGTCAAACTTTACCAACTTTGACCAAGTTTATAGAGAAAATTGTCTACATTTACACACCAAACATGTACAATATGGAAATATAACTCACGGTATATCCAATGATGTATATTTGGTAGTCTAGATGTACCTATTTTTCTCTATAAATATGATCAAAGTTTGTAGATTTAACTTTTAGAAGAAAAAATATAGGCACTACATTATGAAACGGATTCGTAGTAAAACACTCTCCCAGCGTCCAGGGCTTGTCTCATTTTACTATACGATAGAAAAATATCCCAAGTTCCGATTACAAGTTGGTGCATAAGCGACAATCATTTCCATTCGACGAGTCTTATTGTAATAATAGTACGTATAGATACAGCTTTCGAATCGTATTCCGTAGAACAAGTTTTTTTCTTTCTTTCGGTGGGAGTAGTATATATGCCATGCGATTTCATTTTGGTTGGACGCTGGTGGTACATATGGGAAGTATCTATCTACAGCGGTAAAAGAAAAACGAGGGTCCGGGCGACTGATGCGCGACGGCGACAGACGAGACCGGCCATGAAAAGGAGCCAAAAAGGCAGCCGTCGAGCTCCCCCACTGTCTCCCTCCGCTGCCCCGCGCCCCGCGTACGCCCGCTCGATGCACCCAAGCGTTGCGGCTTCCTGCGAATGAACTGCACTGCTCTGCTCTCTGGACCATCTCCCGTCCCGGCGCGCGGTGGGTCACGCACGCACGGGGCACAGTGCGCATGCACATCCATCCAGTCCAGTCCGTCCAGCAACGAATCTCGTTGCTGCGATGGCGATGCCATTGCCATTGCCATTGGGCGGCATCGGCTTGTCCCGCGGGTGCGTGACCCGACCTGACTCCGTCGGTCGGCCGGCCCCGTTCGTTCCACCCCACCCCACCCCACCCCCGAAAGAACGAATGATTCCCTCGTCGAAACAGCTGATATCTCCATGCCAGATTCGACAACGTTCGACCCGATGGACTACGCAAAGTTACCATCCTTGGTTTCGCCACTACAGCATCACACTGGTACTACTACTACTAGAGTAGAGTACGTGCGTTGAGGTTCGGACTACTATTACTAGCTGGATCGGTGATGATGAAAGGTAGGAAGGAGGAGGGCCTTCAATCGAGCCCATAAAAAATTACTAATAATAATATAATAAGCAAAGGCAAAAGAGCACCAAATCCAAGATAGATTGATAGGCAGATGCGGCTGCGCC